GGACTGAGGGCTGGGAACACAAACATTGGCTTTCCTTGATCAGAACACGGGTATTTGAAGGAGAAAAGGCAGTGTAGGACTAGCATCTGCGCACAGGCTAAAGGAAAAAGGGCGGGGCTGGAGGACTGTCCCTTGCATGTTACCTATTTTTAGTGTAAGGTATTTGCTTGGGTCCTTGGCAACCTTGTGTTTGGCTTGCTAAAATTCCCAAACAATGTTTATTTTTAAAGCCTTAACCCTTGTTCTATTTAAGATCCCCCCTCCCTTTCCCCCACCCACTCCACTGGTCTGCCCTATAGATAGCATACTCCTCTGACCTGGGTTTGGGGCCCTGGTCTCCTCTTCCCAAGTGCTCAAAACTCACAAACTGGAACCCAAAATAGCATCAGCTTTTAAAAGCCACACACCTGGGGATCTTTTCATTGGCCTGCTGCTGGCAGAGCCTTTGGGGGACACGTCTGCAAACTTCTCTGCAGAGAAGGGGGCTTTTAGAAAAAGGCCTCAGAATGCAAACGGTCACTCTCACAGCACAGGACTCCAGGAGAAACACGGCCGTCCGCGGGGGACTAGAGATAGCGCCATGCTGTCCCTTGCACACGCGTGAGATAAGAACAGCTCTGAGTCACTGATGTTCCGTTGGTTTGGAGCTGGTGATAGCAGAGGCAGCCCTTTTCGGGAGGCGTCTGAAAACCGGAGAAGGGGCAGATTCAGCCCTGAGACCTTGTTTGCCATCTCCTTACACCACTGATTAAACTGCACCAGGATAGGCCCAGCGTAATGCCGCAGGGAATCGGGTTCTGGCAGCATTAGCATGTGCAAGGGGCATTAATACTTCCCGCCCCACCGTCGCCTGGCACTTCTGAACTGGCATCTCCATGGGAACAGGAAATTTGATTCCATTGTTCTTCCGCCCCCAAGCCACTGGCGGGGCAAAGGGCTCCGGCACCACCTGTCTGTGGCTGCCCATCCAGCCAACAGGCTCCTGCTGGCTCACAGCCCTCCAGAGCAGGAACCCGCCACCCAGCCTTCCTTTGGCTCCTGCAGCTCTTTGCTGCCTGTCCTAAAACACTGAGCTCAACCCACCCATGCTCTGAACCCATCAGGAGGCATTGGCGAGGTTATTAGCCAGCTGTAGAATGCTGGGCCAGTCCTTTCATAAGAACATAAGAACGGCTGTACTGGGTCAGACCAAAGATCCATCTAGCCCAGTAGCCTGTTTGTTAACAGTAGCCGGTGCCAAGTGCCCCGGAGGGGGTGGACCAAAGACAATAATCAAGCGATTTGTCTCCTGCCATCCCTCTCCAGCCTCTGACAAACAGAGGTCAGGGACACCATTCCAGGGACACTAACAGCCTTTTATGGACCTAACCTCCATGAATTTATCTAGCTTCTCTTTAAACTCTGTTATAGTTCTAGCCTTCACAGCCTCCTCTGGCAAGGAGTTCCACAGGTTGACTATGTGATGTGTGAAGAAGAACTTTCGCTTATTAGTTTTAAACTTGCTACCCATTAATTTCATTTGGTGTCCTCTAGTCCTTATGAAGAACTTTTCTTTATTCACCCTTTCCACACCGGTCATGATTTTATAGACCTCTATCATATCCCCCCTCAGTCTCCTCTTTTCCAAACTGAAAAGTCCCAGTCACTTTAGCCTCTCTTCATATGGGACCCGTTCCAAACCCCTCATCATTTTAGTTGCCCTTTTCTGAACCCTTTCCAAAGCCAAAATATCTTTTTTGAGGTGAGGAGACCACATCTGTATTCGCTGTGCTAATATGTTCATGAACATAGCAAATGGCTCAACGAAATCACTCTCCTGCGGCTCTTGTGGGTCATGTTGATCGCTAATTGGCTCCGGAACCACAGATGTCCGAGTCGCTCACTGCTAGTATTATTCTGGGAGCCACCAGCTCAAACTGCAGCTCTAGACCTGGAGACACCATCATTCAATAGGATCGCCTGTGTTATAGTGCGGTGGATACAGGGCCCCAGGGAATTATATTTGTGTTCGTTTTCATCACTCTACAAACCAACCATCCTGACCAACTGCAGATTGGCTCCCGTAGGCGAAATAGCTGTGCTGCTACTCTCAGTTGCATGTACGTGTCCGGTTAGTATTTGCAGTTGATTTCATCACTTTAAAAAAACCACTCCACCATGCATTGGAGGCCAAAGCAACCAGCATTGTCCCTTCAGTGCGACGATGTGCCTGTGAACGCACAATCCAAACAAGCTACAGTGTCATAGCACACCTCTCTCTGGGCACGCAGCAGTCCCAACCCCAGTCAAGAGCAGGGCTATAGTCTGTATTTATTTGCCACTAGACTAGTGTTTCTCAACCAGTGGTACAAGTACCCTTAGGAGTACTCAAGAGAAGTTTGGGGGGTACATCAACAACTGGAATTTGGAGAAAACTGAATTTTTGTTTTAAGTTTTACAGCGCTTTATTATTTTTGTACTTTTTACACCCAAAAATTTCATTGCCCACTCAGCTACGATTGTGTTGCAATGGTAGAAAAAAAATTGTCTCTGAAAACTGTAGGTACTGGGGGTACTTTTTTTTTTTTTTTTTTTTTTTTAAAAAGGGCTACTTTATAAAAAAAGGTTGAGAAAAACACGGCACTAGACAATACTCATTCCTTCTCCTCGGCCCGGCTCGTGGTAGAATGGCTTCAACTGACAGGCGGGGACTTGCAAGTGGTGCAATGGACAAATCAGTTTCTCTTTTCTACTTCGTTTCCTTCTCCCTCTTAGCCCTTCTTATCCACTCCACAACGTCCTATTTTTCCCCTTAGCGTTTCCCACGGCTTTGCAAAAATCCATTTTCTCACCGTTATCCTTTCCCGCATCCATCAGTTTCTTCAAACTCAAATCTATTTTAGAGTGGTGTGGTTGACGAAGCATGGAACAAGGGAGGTAGAATCCCGTATCATCAGTTAACCTAACGCTAATTGGTTCACCGACTAAGCAGGATCCTGGGCAGCAGACTGCTCTAGCTTGGCAGGAGCAGCCCCAGCCTGCCGGGCTGTTGGTCCCAGTTACTCGTCCACATCCCTCCAAGGAACTAGAAACACCCAAATGCTAACCTCTACTCTGCCATGATTTGCTGAGCTGCCCTGGGGACTCAGTTTCCTCATCAGTACCATGGGAGCAGCACTGCCTACCTCCCAGGGATGTGGTGGGCACTAAAATAAGCAAAGCCAGGTGAGGTCCTTGGACAAAAGGAGCAATAGCTTCCCTTGTTAATAACAGTGTGAATCAACAAACAGCTCTTGCCATGTTATTTCTACCTGGCGTGCTGATGATCCAGCTTTGTCAGTGTCTAGTAACAGCACACGATCCGGTTAGACAAAGCAGTATTTAATTTCCAGACTTTATAAATATCTTACAAAAAGATATCAGTCCACAGAGTTTAACAAATGTAGTGTCCGAGTTTGAAGAGATTTTACAATTTCAATATATTGCTTTAGAATAGGAAGAAAAATATCCTTGATGCAATCCCACGATTTAGATCCAAACAGAGACACGGCTTTTAAATGAAAAATACCCCACTGGAGGGTTTGATTCTCCCCTCTGATGTAGAAGACAAATCCCTCTTCAACTGAGTGACATGACAAGGTAGAACCAGTCCCGTGTTGACTCTGCTTTTCAAGCAGAACATATCACCGTCCTCTATCTAACTGAACGATGAAACCAAACAGTCGCTGAATAAATGCACAGCAGATGCAGAATTCCTACCAATCCCAATGAATCTGTTGGCGGGTACAATTCGAGGAGCAGGTAGAACACTAAACCTTCTTGCCAAGTTGGCATTCAAGCATTAGGTTCCTTAGACAGCTCCAGAATAGGAATTATTCAGATCGCATGAGTCCGCCCTGCCAGCCACACCGCAAGCGAGAGCAAAGCGGCCAGTTAAAAGTTTATAATCACACTGAATTTTTAGTGAGGACTCTTCTCAGTGACTATTGTATTTTACCTGCATATGGAATACAGGGGTCATATATTGTACCAATGGGGGAGATCCACTGGTCACTTCTATCTAGTAACAGCAGTGCTCCCCTTTGCAGACAGGCTGGCAGTCAATGTAGCAGGGCTTAAATGTGCCATTTTCTGCAGTGGCAAATCTTATCAGGCACCACCAGCCCTGTTCATCCCAGGGAGCCTCAGACGCCCCCTTGGACACAGTCTAACTGTATCGTGGCCTGTTAAGTGCATTAAGATGCACTTAGTGATGGCCAGGTAACGATCGCTCACACCTTCATTTTGCTGCTAGTATTTTACACAGCTTCCCCTGATACCCATTGCTCGCTCTCATGCTCTCTGGTCAAACACACACCACAGGGTAAGGAGGGATTCCACTCCACACTCAGGGTCTAGATCCACACCGGCCTAGCTCCCGCCTTCTTTGAGAAGCAAAACTTCTATACAGGCAGAATTGGAGCTGCAGCTCACGCTCTAGATTGGGTGTTAATCAGGCCGGCCAGAGTATCCAAGTGTCATTCAGAAGTAACCAAGCTGCTTCGCCACCAAGTCAATGACACAAGTCCCACTGAACTCAATGGGAACAGGCTCAGCACCAACATCTGCTAACAGGTCGTCGTCTAGGGTAGGAGCCAAACCTGAGGATGCTGGGATCAAGGTTACCGAATGCTAACAGCAGCTACCTCCAACAGCAGAGTTACTTCTGCAGGCAGTAATTCTACAGGGTGAATTGCATCTGATGCAATTGCTGGAGGGCCAGGGGAGTTCCTAGATGATACACAGCCTGCCCCATTTACATTTCTCACCCTGACAAATTATGAGGAGGGATGCCCAGTCGTTTTCTCTTTTATTTCACCTCAGACTGTGTCTTCCCAGTTAGGCTCTAGGTCTATGATATTTTTTAATTAAAAGATTAGGTGAATTAACTCAAGCACTTTAACCAACCAAACTATTAGAAGAGCTCTGAAATGCAAACTGTTGCAGAAAAACGTAAGAGTAATTTGCTAAGAAAGTTAACCCAAAGTCTTACAAGATTTAATTTAAAATAAAATAAAATAAATCCACACACAGTTTATCTAGCTCCCAAACTCATGGTGAGAAAACATCTCCTGTTGTTCACCAGTATAAATCCAATCCAATTTTGGATCAGTCTTCAGGACGCTGCTTGGTCATCTTTAGCCACAGCCTGTAGAAGAAAGGAAAGGGACAATCCATCAGCACGAAACTAGCCACACACGGACACCTAGGGCAAATGTTTCAGAAAAGGGCCTGAATCTGCTTGGATAGAAAGCCCTTGACAAACTGAAGAGGTTGATTACACTGGAGCCAAACAACTAAGTTAGACTAAGTCTTCACTGCAAAGAAGAGGTCTGGTTTTATACCGAGTCAGCTGTTTCAGTGTAAAATCTTAGTGGGGAAACGGCACAGGCAGTTTTTCTCTTGATGCAGTTAGTTAAGGTCAATCCCAGGTGAGGAGGCAGAGTGTAGACACGGGTGTGCTGAATATGGAATTTAGACCCAAGTGTACCACAGAGCATTGCACTAATTCATCTGGAAGTCAGGCTGCCATAAATTCAAAGTACAGAGAGCCATAGTTCTTCCACCCCTCACCCCACACTCTCCGTCAGCCAAGGCAGGGGGAGTTGGAACAGAAACAAGGGCCTATGAGAAATAACCTTCCTCCACCCCCTTAGCAAGAGATTTGCAGTGACGCCACCATTGTTTAGGCTGTTCACGAGCCCTGCGAATTAGAAAACAATCGGCAATAAAACTGAGCACAGTTAGCTTGGTGTTGCTACAACTCTTCCAGCTGAAAGCTACTCGGCTAAAGAAGGCTGCTCCAGGGTATCTGATCCAAGTCTCAGTGTCCCATAGGCCCTATTTAAATGCACGCTGAGAAGGGACATGGAGGCTTCACTCAGTAACCTTTAGGATCCTCACCTGCCGCAAGAACTGTCTTCCAAGATAGGAGGTAGCCATGCTGGTTAAATTTGTTCTGCTGCCCACTTTACACCGGATATAACCATACAGGTTAGCCCCCTGCAGAACCACTCCCATCGTAACCACTGCCTGTGACAGAGAAGACACAAAGATCAGGGTTTATTCTCCACTTCTCTAAGATCAGAGGTGACACGTCCATCTGGGCATTTCGAATGCACCCAGGATCGAGGTGCTAAACTCACCAGCCATTTCACTTTGAATGAGAACAGGGCACTGAAGGCAAATATCACCCAGATGATAGGACAGGTAATTAGCCCTAACCAAAAGATTCGGGACTCTGCTTCGGAGGAGACTTTTTTCCGTTGAGCCGATGCCTGGAAATGGAAGGAAACCAAATCTGAGCAGTTTTATTTGCCAAGCTCAGAGTGTCATTACCAACATCCTCAGGTGTTTGTGTCCATACTGTTCAGGAGTGACTCCTCAGGAGAGCTAAGGCATGCAGGAGAATTCTATCCCTCCAGGTGCTGTGGAAACAGGGCATTTTTTTAAAAGGACCATTCCTGTCAGGTTCCTGACTGCAGTGAAGAGTCTGGAATACACCCTTAGCTCTTTTTAGGGAACATTTTGAACTGTTAATGAAAACCCTGAGTTCCTGATGACATCAGCCACCGGAAGATCATACCAATGGTCCATCATCACATACCTAGTGTACCATGTTGCTGTCATAAACCAAGGGGTAGCGGGAGGTGTTGCTAAAGACAGCAAACACCCTCTCAAAACAATCAGCAGCCAATTGACTGATGCATTTTTATTACAACACTTGTATTGTACTGTAGAATTATACAGCGTGAGACAGGCCAAGACACACTGCAGACCCTTAGTACAGGCTGAACCTCTCTAGTCCGGCACCCTCACTGGTGCTGAACCAGAGAATTTTCTGGCCCATGGAAGGTCGCTATTGTCTAGCTGCATTACCAATACTTCCACTGCCTACTGGAGTCACATGGAGATTTTACCAAACTGAAGCAGTTAAAACATAAACATTAACCATTTACCTTCCTGGCTTCAAACACCCAGTGACTCTTGCCATCATCATCCACCTGGTTCCACCAGCGAAGGCCAACCATCAGCCGGCCTGTAACATTCTGGAGAAGGATAAACACAGAAGGAATGGGGTTCAGAGAAATTTTAGCCCTACAATGACAACCCAAGAAATCCTTCCTGTACCTTGCCCATGAAATACCAGAAAGAACTTTGAAAACCAATTCTCCTCTGTCTTATAAACTCTTAATATCTTCAATTTCCATGGCAACCATCACAACCAATGCACCACATTTACAACCATTGCTATCAGGTCATATTGCTGTAGCAGTATTACAGGTGGTGCTAGTAGCTACCCACATGGCTTATACTTCAGGTTGTTTAACACTCCCTGTTATATGTTTTCAGTGGCTTATAACCAGGGCTCGACAAACTATAGAATCTACTTGCCCGTGGTGAGTAGATTTCAGCCGCGTGCCCCGTTTACCAGTGGCGCATACATGCGCAATGTGGCTCTTGCGCATGTGCCGTGCGGGGCTGGCGAGCGGCTTTCGCCACCGTTTGTCAAGCCCTGCTTATAACTTTGCCCAACGTTTGCCATCAGTGCTGTCAGCCTAGGCAAGTGCAGCAGAGTTTAACCAAGAATTCACAAGCTAACTCCCAAAGGGGACATGTTGTATAGAGAGAAGTTTTAAGGCCACGTGTGTAAACACGTCCACAAGAAGCACTTGTGATTTACATCTGCCGTGTTACGCGCTCTCTCTGCAGTGAAATACAAGACAAAATGCAGCGCCACTGGCGAGGCTGAAATCACGGCACAGGTAACAGTGCCTCATGAAACTGCCTCGAGGCTGTGGCAGGACTGCTGCAGTCAAGGCTGGTCCGGCATGTTGAGGGGTCTCTTCCCCAGCACTGACACAGCGGGACTGGAAGGGGTTCCTGGCATGGCCCAAGACAGAGCACAAAGTGTGGGGGAGGTGGCAGTTGTCTTTGGCCAACAGGACAGCAAAGATGAGCTGCCAGCCGTGGGGGAAATCTGATGAATATCTCCTGTGCGGGGAGGCTCCCGCACCCCTGGCTCAAGAGGGAAGGAACAAGGCTGTGTTCATAGAGCTGCAGAGGATGGCTGCAGTTTGGGCAGGGCAGGTCAGAGGCCCCTGGCTAGGACTGCAAGGAGGAGGACATCTACTCGAATTTGTGAGGCTGTGTGATATGGGCCTTGTGACATTACAGCCCATATTCTTTCTGAAAATGTGCGTATGATGTGAACATGCCTTCACCGAGACATGCTTAATGCAAGATAATTCATGTAAGGTATCACTGAAGAGGTGATGATGCATGTGAATGGGATGATCCTATTCAGTGAATGTCCCATGTTTGAATCTGAAGCTAGGAATATTAACCTGCGCATCTGTGTTTCATATTTGCTGCTTTGGGGCCCTCCAATTGCTGACACTTCAGGGACTCCAGTTGGCCCATCAGCAAGGACAATGGACTGTGAATAGGCAGGGGGGAAGGGGCTTACCTTTACTGCCCAAAAGTCACAAGACAGGAGCAGGATAATTGACACCATGCAGGCAATAAAGCTGCTGCTGATCAGTTCGCAGAGCAGATAGACAACTATTGCAGTGACTCGGAAGAACAGGTGGAAAAATGATGCCACCGGGTGTCTGTAAACAATCCATCAGAAACACAATCCAGTCACAATCCACTCGTGTGAAACGAGGCTGAAGCCACATGGTAAAGAAGCAACATGTTCTATCAAGGCAGAAGAGGGTTTTGTTTTTCTTGTGCGCAGACTGGGAGGACAAAAGCCTTTAAATGAGGCTAGTTTGTAGAGCACGTGGACCACAGTGGGAAAACTGAGGACCATGATACATCGCATCATAACGTACACATCATCCTCTAGCATAACAAAGTCTTCTAAGAGCTCGCTACGCAGCAGACTTATCCTGCCTGTGGCCACAGTTCAAAGTGCATGCAGCATTTGAGGTGTGTGGGAAGGTGAAACCCTTCAGAAGCTCCTAGATATATAGCAGTTTTTGAGGGGTAACATTAAGACATACACCCTACTGAGATGAAGGGAAGCAAATTGCATCTCTCTCTAGGGAAATCCTGCTCTTTTCTCAGTCTTCTCTGGCATGTTTCCATTCCAAAAAGCTTTGAGATGCAGGCTTTGGTCCACAGAGCTCCCTGCATATGGCTTACAGCAC